TTATGATACGATACATTGTGATGTGCTGTGTTTTGTTGTGATGGGATGCATTACAAAGTGTTACCTTATGTTAGGATATGATACAATATGATACGATAAGTTACAATAAGTTATGATACAATTTGATTTATGTTCTGTTACAATACGTTATGCTATGTTATGCTGTACAATTTGATACGATACGTTACAATATGTTACAACACGCTACAACACATTACGATACGAAATGATGCAGTACAATATGTTACAATACATTATGATATGATACGATATGATACAATACTATATGATGCAGTATGATATGTTGCAATACATTATGATACAACATGCTGCAATATGTTCCTTTACTATACATTACATTATATTACATTATGTTACGTCACATCATATCACAATACAATATGATGCAATACGAAATGTTACGATACAATACATTACGTTACGTTTTGATTCATTATACATTATAGTATGTTACAATTGTGACATGATACTATGCACTAAAGTATGACACATTACTATGTTAGGTTATGGTATGTTATGGTATACTATGACATTATGGTATGTTACTTCATGATACAATGCATTACAACATTACACTATGTTTTAATAGGTTTTTAATACATTATGATACAAAATGCTAGGTTATAATATGCTATGCTACAGTATCTTACTATGACACATGTAATGTATTGTTTTTGGAGAAAATTAGTTTGAACTCGGTGTTTTGTTTTCATAAATATCACAAATAAATTACTGAATTTAGCAACTACAATGTAAAGGTAATTCAACATTTAAACACATGTACATACATTTACAAATGTGTTTTTATAGAACAAATTAAAAACTATAAAAAAGATGTTTAAAAAGTAACAATTTTTTTGAAAGTATGGACACACACCGTCTGATGTCAAGATTTCAAGTATTAACTGAGCTTGGTGTTTTATTAGTGGAAAAACTTGGGGTGGGGTTTAGAATGGAAATGATAACAGACACTGCAATCAGTTAATAGTTAGGAGAGCAGCCATACATGCTGGCATCAGCAACATGAGTAAAACGTTAACCAGTTGCAGTCCAGAACAAAATGTCTCAATAACAGATGATTGGGTGTCATAAAACCCTGTGGCAAGGCTATACCCCTCATAAATACACACACATACACACAAAGTAATCATTTGTTTTATGGTTAAACCAATTTCGATTATCTTCAAGACGCCTTGATATCATGACCAGTGTTTTCTGTTCTTCTTTTCTACCTGTTTTAAACCTCTTCTTTGTCATGACAGCTTCGTGGAATTCATCAGATAATGTTAATACGAAAGATACAACCTGTTTCTACCTTTTTTATCTTTACACCCATTACACATATCAGAACTGGAGAGCATGTGATCCTTTTGCTGATAAACGGCTACAATTTAGTGTCTTTTGTTTGTCTTACCTTCTTTTTTCATGCCAGCTCTAAAGCATTTGTTGAGTCTGCAGAAACGACACTGGTTCCTCTTATCTTTATCAACAATGCACTGTCTGCTGAACCTGAACACAACAATCAATAGTTTAGCAATTTTTCTACAGCGCAAGACTTAATACACACCACTGGGTAAGTAAATGAGCTAAACTAGCATATGCAGATTATGAGAAATATCAAGTATCAGATATGTACTTCTATGTTAACTCGTGCACATAAGTGTGAATTMTTTTATCTAACCCATGATAGTTGCACATTTTAATGTTAATCACATATACCTTTCATTAATGAAAGTATTGCATATTTCTTTAGATGTACTTTTTTATTGCAGACATTTTCATCAATACAGTAAAAAAATGAGTACATTTTTAGAGTACTTGTCGTTCGTACCTGCACGTGTACACATGGTTCTTGCGTATGGAGCGTCTAAAGAAGCCTTTACAGCCGTCGCAGCTGGAGGCCCCATAGTGTTTCCCTGTCGCCTTGTCTCCACAGATTGCACAGTTACTGCTGAGCCCATCTGGGCCCGTGTGGCTTGGTTCTGTTGGCATGCTTTCTGGAAAACAAAACAAAAACCCACAAATGCATCTCCACATACTGCATGATCTCGATTACACACTTGGGAAAAGACGCACAAAGTAGTTCTGTAGTTCAAGTTGCAATAGATCATTTACTCGTCAGTAAGGGACATTTGAAAGTGTGTAATGGTTGATTGTGTGATTTTAAAGAAGATGCATTGCTTTTAAAATTTCCTAAAACCATTTTGGAATTTYCTGTTGATGTTTTTAAATCAGATTAAGGCTTGCTAAATAAAACAAAACATCAAACTTTTGAAATATCACTTTTATATTATTTGTAGCCGCCGTCACCCTAATAAAAATTAACCTTGATATAAATAATGCAACTCTACTTGATAAATCCTTTGCACACAGTGCACACCGGTCTGTATAGCCGCAGTGTTTGTTGTGCATGATTGATTTGTAGATCTGTAAATCAAGAAAAAAAATATTTATTAACCGGGCGTGGGCTTCATTGCCACAGTTTATACAAGTATGTTTATTTTTACAAGGATTATACCAGCGGTGGTATTTTCTCAAAGATTGAAACTAATTTTCACAAGAGCTTACATTTTTATTGTTCTGTCGATGCATATCAAAGAGAACACAACATGATCATACTGTGAATGTGACAACCTTCAGACACATTCACTTTTCTGTTCAAAGCATGTCCCTAACCTGTCCCATAAACTTATGGGAAATGTGTTAATGTTTGACAAACTCGCTCATCAGTTGCTGCTGTGATGTCATTGTTTCACTGAGGTGTGTGCTTACTCTTCAGTATATTTATGGCATTTTTCTATAACTTCCAAACACCTTTACTCTACTCCACTGAACTCCAGTAAGGACAAAAATCAGCCATGTTTTGGAGATTTGGTTTCTGGTTTTGTTACAATTTTTGATACATCAGTTTGGTTAAAAATAACAATAATAGGACAAAAATTCCATGCATCTGCTTTGAACGCATTCATATTGAAGTAACAAGAAATAACTTAACATGCCAGATCCATAAACCTAAAAAATACTTTTTTTCCTCTGTGTTTTTCACGGAATTTTGGATTTGAAATTAATCGAATCTGAATAACAATATGGATTTATCTGGTGCTAAAGAGGCTGCATTTAAAGTTGAAAACAGAAGCATCAAGTCTATGCCTTGTGAGGAAATAAAAACATGCAGTGAACAATAACACTATCAATTCGTTAAATTGTTATTTTATTTTAAAATGTTTTGAATGCTACATTTATATTGATCTAGTTAATAATCCTTAAGTAATTTCCTCACTTTGTGTTTGAAACAGTAAAAGGATGAGTTCTGCCTGACTTGCTGAGATATGATTCCACCGTGTTCTGAAAACAAAATGAAAAAAGAAGCAACTTCTTGACAACGTATAGTGTTTTCTCTRTAAGTTTGTACAATCTACTCGGGTTGCTTATTCTCTTTAGTTTCCCCTGCAAAAAGTGTGAAATGTTTAACCAACTTCAAAAAATCAGCCAATGAGCTCTGGATTGGGCCTAATATAAAGCCTTGTGGGACACCATTTCTTCGATTTAAACAATTTGAACTGGCATTGTAAATTTAAAACTAGATGTTTGGAAAGTTACTAAGTCTTAAGAAAGAAAGGTTAAAACCTCAATAATCAATGTAAATTTTACTGTTAAATGGGTTATTTGTTTTTTACCTGCATTCTCCCAGAGCAAACATTACACCAAAAAATTTGTTATCGGAAACATTTGCCACTTTCTGCAACTTAATTTTATTGTGTTTCCATATTTGTGCTTCACTGACTGGGAGCTATTTTGCCCATGAAATTCTGCATCCTTATTTCCCCTAAAACTCTTCTTCGCTTCACTGCTCAAAACTTCTATTTTGACATCCTTCTTCCTTCAAACCACCTGGTTTGTTTGAATTTTATTTTTAAGACTTTTGAGAGTAACACACA